TTTTTTTTTTTGGTTTTCTCCGGTACCGGGAACCAAACTCACGACCTTGCACTTGCCAGGCAGGCGCTTTTGCCGCTGAGCTAAATCCCCAGCCCCTGTACCTGTCTCTTTGTACAGAACAGTATATCACTAGTACACATGTCCTCTTCCCACAGCCATTAGTTTTTTCTTCTCCTCCCAATCTTTGTCATGTTAAGAAAATCTGAATATGGGGTCTTATTTTCCGAGCCTCTTACACAAAAAATGGAATAGTGCCCAGCACTTAGCCCTATGTGTTTGTTAGTAGAATTGTAAGCTATACGAAGTGTTTGTACCTTGATCTTTTCATTTAACTACACACATCAAAGAGCTTTCCTTGCCAGCACATTCCTTACCCTCCTCATTCCTTTTTTTAGAGCTGCATAATATTCTACCACTTGGATGTGCTATAGTGTGTGGTCCTTCTGTATACATGGGCACTTAGATTGTTTCCAAATTTCCTTGGACAGTAGACCCATCTGTGTGTCTTCCTTCACCCTTAATTCCGGTAGGTGTGCCAGTTCTCTCCACATCCAGGTTAAGGAGTATTCTGTCCTTGCAGGAAAAGAAAGTTTGGAAGACCTCCTCATCCCAGCGCATCTTACGAAGACACAAGAGAGAATGGGTAGTCCCGCCAATATCTGTCCCTGAGAATGGCAAGGGTCCCTTTCCCCAGAGGCTGCATCAGGTATGACGGTGGCTTTCCCTTGGGAGTCATGGGTAGCTACAGGGACCCCATCCAAAGTCCTGAGTGGGTGCTGGGGCCCAGAGAGCAAAGTCCCGATCAGGGGAGCGGGCCCTCGGAAGGCTGTGCCCTCGCCATCTCTACCAGAGGGTTCTTTGCTGCAGTCAACTGCTGTGTTCCTTTGCTTTCAGCTCAAATCTGATAAGGACAAAGGCACCAAGATTTTCTACAGCATCACAGGGCCTGGGGCAGACAGCCCCCCGGAGGGCATCTTCGACATTGACAAGGAGACCGGCTGGCTGCTGTTGAATAAGCCACTGGACCGGGAGAAGATTGCCAAGTATGAGGCAAGTAGCCTTGTGCACTCAGCGTGAACATCTCCCCTGCACCGGGGCCCAGGGCCTGAGCAGGAGGGAAGCACCGGCTGACCCCACACCTCTGCACCCTCAGCTTTTTGCCCATGCTGTGTCAGAGAATGGTGCCTCAGTGGAGCAGCCCAGGAATATCTCCATCATTGTGACGGACCAGAACGACCACAGACCCAAGTTTACCCAGGAGGTCTTCAGAGGGAGTGTCTTGGAGGGAGCCCGGCCTGGTAAGAGGACTGGAGGGAAGACTGCTGTGGGTCTGCTAGGGCCAGACCTAGCTTTGGGGCAACTTCTGCAACTAGCTAGAAGTCAACGCAGACCCTTAAATACTGGAAGACCCCACCACTTTTTTTTTTTTTTTAGATAGGGTCTCACCATGTAGTTCAGGCTGGCCTTTTGTGTGCCCTGGGGGTACTGGGAATTGAATTGAACTCAGGACCTTGCACTTGCCAGGCAGGTGCTTGTGCTGTTGAGCTATATCCCAGGCCCCATCAGGCTGTGTTTGAACTTGCAGTGATCCTCCTGCCTCAGCCTCCCCATTGCTGGGATTACAGGCATGTACTACCATGCCCTGCTGGACCTTACCACCTTTGATTCCTTTGGCTGTGCATCAAATTACCTGGAATCTTCTTAAAAATCCAGAGTTTCACTTATAAATACGGTCTCTAGTTGTATCCATTAACCTATAAAAACCTCAAGTTTACCTTTCTTTATAGCTGAGTAATACTCCATTGTATAAAAATACCACATCTTTTTTATCCATTCCTCAGTTGGTGGGCATTTGGGCTTTTTCCAAGATGTAGCTGTGACACATTGCGCTGCTATACACATGGGTGCACATATATTGCTGTGGTGTGATGATTTCGGTTCTTCTGGGAAAATACCCAGAAGAGGAATAGCTGGGTCAAATGGGACCTCTAATCCTAGTTTTTTGAGGATTCTCTACACTGATTTCCACAGTGTTTGTACCAGTCTACACTCCCAACAGGGGAGAAGGTTCCTTTTTCCCCACAGCCTCACCAGCATTTGTTACGGGTTAATTTCTTGATGATAGCCATGCTTTCTGGGGTGAGATGGACTCTCAGAGTTGTTTTAATTTGCATTTCTCAAATGACCAATGATGTGTTGAACATTTTTTATATATATATTTGCCATTTGTATTTCTTCATCTGAGAAGTGTTTATTCATCTCGGATGCCCAGTTTTGAATTGGGTCTTTGCATACCTATATCTGGTAATCTGAACAACCTACTTTAAAGATAACAATATGCAATATAACAGCCATTGTTAATTTCCTATCATCTTGATTTGAAATTCTGTATCTTTTTAATTTTTTTATTCTCTTTAAAATAAAAAATTGCCAGGCGTGGTGGTGCACGCCTGTAATCCCAGCACTCGGGAGGCTGAGGCAGGAGGATTGTTGTGATTTCGAGACCAGCCTGGGCTACAAAGTGAGCTCAAAGCCAGCTGGACTGCACAGAAAGACCCTGTCTCAAAAAGATTAAAAAAAAAAAAATTAAAAAAAAAAAAATACTTGGACTATTTAATCAATTCAGGAAAAAAAAAAAATTCAGAGTTTGCCAGTCTGTCTCAAGATTCCTGAATACAAATCTTGTTAAATAAAATTCTAGCTATAGAATAGAGCTATGGAATAGAGCTCTTGGAATCTGTATATATGAAAACTTTCTAGAAGCTTCAGCCAACTTTGAGAAACTTTATTAGCTCAGGCAAGTGGTGGCAAACCTATGGCACGAGGGCCACAGAGGGCTCATTATATCACTGAAAGCCCTGACAGGTTCACCATTACTGGCTGAGGAGCTACAGAGACTGAGACTGGGATATTGACTTTGTCTCTTGGGCAGCTAGGAGTGTGGGCATATTCTTTTTTGACTTCTGAGTCTCAGTCACCACAGCTGACAGGGGGCATAGGGCGACCTTGAAGATTAGACATAATGTGCAGCTGAGGGTATAGTTCAGCAGTTAGAGCATGTGCTTAGCATGCACACCTGAGTTCCATCCCCAGAACCAAATGAAAGAAATAGAGAGAGAAGAAATAGAAAAGAAAGGAAAAGCATGTACACACTATTATTACTACAAAACACTTGACAACTTTTTCAGTGTAGGTGACTATAAGGAAGGCAGCAAGGGCTAGAAAGTGCTAGAACATGGCTTATGGAGAGTGGAAAAAAGTTGCCAGGGATGGAGAAGAGGGCTGTGGGGAATCAGCAGACATAGATGCTTCCCCCGCCTCTATGCTGGGGATCATAGTAGATGCATAATAACAACTTTAAACAGGTGCTGCCGGAGGGAAGGTGTCTCTCTGTGTTGTTGAAAATTTCAGAGAAGTATGAGTTGATTAGACTTCTAGTCACATAAATTCCCACAACAAAAACAGTCTTAAACAAGATGAAACTTTTCTTTCTCTCTCTTTTTTCCTTCCTTATATTTAGGAAGCCTAGAAATGGCCAGTCAGCCAGTCTAGGCTGGAATTCAAAGAATTAGAGCTAGGCTTCTTCTGTTTTGTTTTTCTGCTATTTTGGACTTTGTTCTCATGGTTACCTCATTGTGGCTGCTAGAGCTCCAGCCATTACATCTGGAAGAAGGGACAAGGTGGGAAGAACAAGCCCATATTTGTAAACAAACAAAACAAAACTCCTTCCAAAGTTGTATATACTCTTCATCAGGATTTATTCTCATAGTCATAGCTGGCTGCAAGAGGGATAGAAGTAGTGTTTGTTCAAGGTGAGTCAGTGCCCCGCTAAATGAAGATCACATTGCTGAGAAAGGAAAGAGTGGAAAATGCACACCAGCTTGTGATCTCTGCCACCGAGTGGAAGACAGACCCAAGCTGATGAGCTGAGCAGAACCGCTCAGAATTCCAGAAGGATGGGCTGGGGATTTAGCTCAGCGGTAAAGCGCCTGCCTGGCAAGTGCAAGGTCGTGAGTTCGGTTCCCGGTACCGGAGAAAAACCAAAAAAAAAAAGAACTGGAGCTGGGAGAGGGACTCACTGCCCTTCTGTCTCCAGGTACTTCTGTGATGCACGTGACAGCCACAGACGAGGACGATGCCATCAACACCGACAACGGGGTGGTCGCTTACTCCATCCACAGCCAAGAACCGAAGGACCCACACGACCTCATGTTCACCGTCCACCGGAGCACGGGCAGCATCAGCGTCGTCTCCAGCGGCTTGGACCGGGAGGTGAGTGGTCCTTGGGCTGCCTGCCGGGCTTGCCTGAGGCTGAGGCTGAGGTCACGGCAGGACAGCCGGGACCCAGTCCCCTGGGTGGTACCGCAGTGCTCGCGTGCTGATGGCCCACAGCTCCCCTGGGCCAGTGGGCTGTTGCCGCAGTCTCATGAAGGGGGCCGTGAAATCAAACTCGAGATACTTTCCAAAGGTTTTCTCATTTCCTCCTGAAACGGCTCACTTCGTGTGCACATTCTCCGATATGTCCCTGGTGTGCCACAAAGCGGAATTAGCTCCATGGATGTTGGAGCCGCCTTCCGTTTCCCAGTTAATACCTTAGCACAAATCCATGCTCGGAGCTCCTGTTGTGGAGTAGCAGGGGGCCGGGGGCCAGTGGTCCCCAGGACAGGCCCAGCGCCACCCTCTGCTCCTGTTCGCTGTGGTGGAGGTGAACGTGGGTCAAGGAGTTATGAGAAAATTGTGAGAGGGAGGAACCGGCACCCAGCCAAGGCTGTGCTTCCCAGAGCCCACATGCGGGACCCCTCGGAACGGACTCATAGTGGGTTCCCCCCAACACCTCCTTTTCTCGCCAGAAAGTCCCCGAGTACACACTGACCATCCAGGCCACAGACATGGATGGGAGCGGCTCCACCACCACGGCAACGGCCATAGTGGAAATCCTTGATGCCAATGACAACGCTCCTATGTTTGACCCGCAGAAGGTAACGAAGCCTCCTTCCTTCCTTCTTCCCTCATCACTAATGACGAAGGTTTTTCCTTTCTCATGAAACTCTAAAACCAGTCCATGTGGCTTCAAGTCTTAGTCCAACTCACTGGCTGTGTGACCTCAGGCAAATTATCTAACCCTCTGTACCAGGCAGTCCTCCTGTCTCAGCCTCCTGACTGACTGCTGGGATTATAGGCACTTACTGTCATGCCCAGCCCGTCTGCCTTTCTTTCCACCTTTATAGTCTGCTGATCTCAGTGAGCTAGCTACACTAGCCAGCTACACCTGGCAGGAGGCTCAGACACCAAAACCAGTGAGTCTCCGGGAGCATCAGGCCCCAGGAGAATGGAAGGCAGGCCCAGGGTTGAAGTGGTTTGTCCTGGAACCCCTGATGCTTGGGACCTTCTGTACCTGTATGTACCCAAAAAACCTGCTAAGGGGTTGGTGGCCCAGGAAGGGATAAAGCCCTGGGGCTCCCCAGAAGTGGTGAAGAAGATCACAGCCCCTGCAGAGTGGAACAACCTCTTCGATGGTCAGTCTCTCCTCTGATCGTACTGTTTCCTACACTGACAGTATGAGGCCCGGGTGCCTGAGAACGCAGTGGGCTTTGAGGTGCAGAGGCTGACAGTGACCGATCTGGATGTCCCCAACTCTCCAGCATGGCGCGCCAGCTACAGCATTGTGGGAGGCGACAATGGGGACCATTTTACCATCACCACCCACCCTGAGAGCAACCAAGGCATCCTGTCGACTAGGAAGGTGAGTCCATGTGCGCTTTAAGCAAATGCCCCACCTGGGGTAGCTTCCAGGACACGGGGCCACCGCCCGCCTGGGACCTCCGGTGAGAGTGGCATGGTTCTCCCTCCCAGAGTGGACTTCCAGAATCTTTTGCTGGAAGCATGCTACTTTTGCAGTCTTCTCTGACATATCTAGGTGTTTGGATAGCAAAATGTTTTTAATTACTTAGTAGGCACATTCTTACTTCTCAAAAAAATGGTTTAAGCTTCTGTGAACTTTCGTTTTTATTGGGGAATAGGGTGTAGGTTGGGTCGAAAGTCTTTGAATACAATTGATGGTTCAAGAAGATAGGTCTAAGGGCAGGGGATATAGCTCAATGGCACAGGTGCCTGCCTGGCAAGTGTGGGGTCCTGAGTTCGATTCTTGGTACCAAAAAGAAAGAAGAAGATGAAGAAGAAAAGTCTACTTTTTCTTTGATTTATTTTACCTTCTTATTTACTTTTAAGAATGGCCTACTTTGAGAAACAAGGTTTTATATAATACTTAAAGACTGCCTTTGGGGATCTTAAGGTATAGCTTAGTGGTAGAAGACTTGCCTAGTATGCACAAGGCCCTGGGTTTGATCCCCAGCACTACAAGAAAACAAAACAAAAAAGATTCATTGTCCCCTTCTTGTGACAAATACTTTGTAATGCCACTTTTCATCGTGAAATTAAGTTCACTTATAATACAGCTTAGCTCACTTGTGAGTTTTAGAAAGTAAGAGACTTCAATAAGTAAACTTTGGGCACAGCTACACTAGAAAACAGAAGTGGCCGGTTCCTTGAATCTCTTTGTAGAATCGTCCAAACTCAGTGGATACTATATGTTGCCCTGGCAACACATACCACAAATGGTTTTGATGTCTTTTCAGAATAGTGAGCAAATTCTTGAAAAAGCCCTAAACAAATTAAGTTACAAGCTTCTCTCAGAAGCTACAATCCTGGAGAATTCAGTATATATTAAAACCATACCAAAAACTTAATTTACATGTAAAGCATGTTCTAGACTCTGATTACAAACAGATTTTTCACATCCATGAATGTACAAATGTTAAAGGAGATACTGACAAGTCACAGGGGATGTAGGGTCCGTCCTTTGTGTTCATAAAATTGTGGAACATGGCAGCTCTGCCTCAGCTTTCAAATGCCGTGGCAGCCCTAGGCATGGCAACTGGAATGCCTCTTATTATCTAAAATACCCCCTAGTGCGACCACCCCACTGTGAGAAGTCCCTCTGGATGGATGTCCACTCAGGAAAAACAGGAAGCTTTTGGGGGCAGGGATAGAACAGGATTATTGTTGGTGGGGCCTCCGTCGTCTCACTGTGGGCCCTTTCCTTCTGATGTCCACAGGCCTCACAAAATGGCGGTTCCGGTCCTTGTCTCTTCTCTCCTAGGGCTTGGATTTTGAGGCCCAAAACCAGCACACGCTATATGTGGAAGTGACAAACGAGGTCCCCTTTGTGGTGAAGCTCCCAACCTCCACGGCCACTGTTGTGATCCATGTGGAGGATGTGAATGAGGCCCCTGTGTTTGTCCCACCCTCCAAAGCCACCGAGGCCCAGGAGGGTATCTCCGCTGGGGAGCCGATCTGCGTCTACACTGCACAGGACCCTGATGAGGAGGGCCAGAAAATCAGGTACTTGGGGACTGGGCTCCAAGTCAGCCAAATGCACCACCCGTGCAATGGGATGAGTTGTTCTGATTACCAAAAGATTGTTCAGTATTTCGAATATCACCCTTGCACTAGACTTCTCCTTCCTTCCATGCTTGCGGCTAAAAATTCTGAGCTAGGGGGCCAGGAACAGTTATGTCCTCTCTTTGCTTGCATATCCCTGCTGGGCCTCCACCTGCTACTTCAGGCTCCATCAGCAATGAGATCTTTTTCCTGTGGGGGCTTAGGAGCCCAGTGACCATCTGCAGTTGGCCTGAGGAGGCTTTGAAAGATGACAGTAGAATTCCAAATACTCTGGGTGTGACCCTTCTCTACTCCTCCTCTCCAGCTACCACATCCTGAGAGACCCAGCTGGATGGCTAGCAATGGACCCGGACAGCGGGCAGATCACTGCCGCAGGCCTCCTAGACCGAGAGGACGAGCGGTTTGTGAACAACAACGTCTACAAAGTCACGGTCTTGGCCACTGATAATGGTGAGTGCTTCTGTCCAGCCCTTCCTCAAGGGATGCCTTGTCACATGCCACAGCCTGTCCCCTAAACAGCAAGGGATAAGGGCGAGGGGTAGACAGCAAGCCAGTGTGGAGTTAAAGGGCTCTTTCAGAGGAGTCTTATACAGCCCACTCCCAGGGTGAAGGCTGCAACCCAGATTTTCCTAATAGCCAAGAGTCAGGCGAGGTCCCAAAGGTTCCCTTCATCCCAAGTTTTTGGATCACTGAACCTCACATTGGCTTCAGTTTCCTCTTGCAGTTGATTGATAAGGGATACCTGGCAGGTGCCCTGAGTGGTTAGTGATGTGCTGCTGCGATGGATAGGGGATTATAATGTAACCAAGGCCTGGAGGCAGGGCAGGTTCCCTGAAACTCACCAGCAAACACTGGACTAGCCCCGAAGTGGCCAGTGGGTTTTATTCTGTGATAGATTGTTGAGACTTTGGGTGCTGCAGCTGTGCTGAGATTGGTTAGTGATGTCTGCAGTGGACACAAGTCAGAAGGACAGCTTGATTGCCATCAGTATTGGGCATCACTGGTTTGATGTACACTGAAGCTGTGGCACAGAGGGACTTGAGGGCTCAGAGCTAAGTGGTGAGCAGGAGCCTTTCTGAGGGTGACTGAGTAGGTCGGAGGTAAGCCTAACATTCTTCATGTGCCAGCCAAGGGCGGATGCTGAAAAGAGATCATATGTGTACTTATAAACAGGGAACCCTCCCGCCACTGGCACGGGCACCCTCCTGCTAACACTTACTGACATCAACGACCACGGCCCGGTCCCTGAGCCCCGCCAGATCACCATCTGCAATGAAAACCCGGTGCCCCAAGTGCTGAACATCACGGACAAGGACCTGTCCCCCAACTCCTACCCTTTCCAGGCCCGGCTCATATTTGACTCGGACATCTACTGGATGGCAGAGGTCAATGAAAAAGGTGAGTGGTGTTAGCAAGTGGGCGCGGGCTCTGCTGGCTGGGTGTCTGCCTCATACTGGGACCCCACACAAAGTCCTGTTCCGGAAGTTCTTTGGTTATTTCTGGGTCAAGAAGTAATGAGTGCCTCAAGAACATCCATCAAATGCCATTTATTTTATGGCAGGGAGGTAACTCGATGGCAGAGTGCCTGCCTACCACTGTTGAGGCTGTGTGTAGTAGATCTCCCAGCAACCCACGCACGCACGCACGCACGCTAGCTGTTGGCCTCATATATGCATTTGCAATTCCGCAAGAGCCCTAAATACCTTTCTACCTCATCCAGCCTTTCTGCACAGAAGGGAAAAGAAAGGCCCCGCGGGGAGTGATTTGCCTAATGTCACCCAACAAGAGTCAGGACTCTGGCACAGGCTGGGGACATACCACAGTAGTCAAATGCATGCTTGGCGGGTGGGAGACCCGGGGCTGAGCCGTGGTATCATGCTCACACGCACACATAATCACACAGTCCGGCACATAATAGCTGCCAATCCTGGGGCTGGGGATTTAGCTTAGCGGCAAAGCGCTTGCCTGGCAAGCGCAAGGTCGTGAGTTCGGTTCCCAGTACCGGAGAAAAACCAAAAAAAAAAAAAAAAAATAGCTGCCAATCCTGAGTGAGCCTGTTGTGGGCCTGACTCAGCTCTGGTACTTCACACTGAATAACTTACTCACATCAGCCCTGTGGAGGAGGTAATGCTGTTGGCTTACTGGCTGTCACATGCACGAGGAGAAAACCGGGGCTTACAGAAGTTTAAATATCTTGCCAATCTTGCCAACGGCATCGCAACTAGCAGAAAATACTGGCATCAAGGATTTAATCCAAAACTTCTTTTGGGCTGGGGTGGGGGGTTGAACCTTAGGGCCCTCATACAGAACTTCATTCCCCAGGCCTGTTGTAAATTTGTTTTTTTGAGACAATATGTAGTTCAGTTCACTATGTAGTTCAGTTTTGTTTTGAACTTGCTACTGTACATAGTATAGTCAGGCTTCAAACTCATGGCAATGCCCCTGCCTCAGCCTCCCAAGCACTGGGATTACAGGTGTGCACTACCACACCTGTTTTCTTGTGTTGTGTTTTGTTGTTTAAGAGATTTTTTTTTTTTTGTCTTTTTGAGACAGGGTCTCCCTACGCAGTTCAGGCTGGCCTTGAGCTCACCCAGGCTGGTCTTGAACTCGCAACGATCCTCCTGCCTCAGCCTCCCGAGTGCTGGGATTACAGGCATGTGCCACCATGCCCGGCTGAGATTTTTGTCTTGGTAAATTAACCAGGCTGGGTTCAAACTTAGAAAGTTTCTATCTTTACCTCCCAGAGAGCTGGAATTACAGGCGTGCATCACACACGCAGGTTAATCAAGGCTTCCGACCACGATGCGCTATTGCGTATCATGTATTGAACCCTGGCCATGCAAAGTGCTTTTCTTTGTCTCTTTTTTTCTTATTTAATATTTCTGCTGAACCGGTCAGTGTCTTCATCCCTATAAACAGATGAAAGGAAGGCGGGGTGGGGGTGTTAAAGAGCGTGCCTAAGGGCCCAGCCCAGCATGGGCAAGAAGTGGAAGCAGAAGCCAGAAGACAGATAATAGGAAACAGGAGATAGATCTTTTACAAATTAGAAGAAGACCAAGAGAGGGAAGGAGGGAGGGGAAGGGAAGGGAGGAGAAGGGGACATAAAAAGGAGTAAGATGTGTTCTGTACCTGTACCAGCTCCCCACAGTGAACATAATCATTATGTATTGCTAACATGTACTAATAAAAATTACAAATAAAAAGAATTTGAAGCCAGGTTTGGACTCCGGAGCCGCTGGTCCCCTCCTTCCCATCCACTTCCTTGTCCTGCCTCCTTCCAGCCCACCCCCTGGGAAGTTCTCACCCTTCAGGGTTTTTCAGGTGCCACTCAGAATGGGAGTGGATGACTCCGAGCGAGTGAGAGAGATGAAGCCAGCCCCAAGCGCCATAAGGCCTCCAGGGAAACTGCCTCTCTTGGGACAAGGTGCTTCCCCACTCCAGGGCTTCCCAGCAGGGAGCTGGGGAATCAGGACATTCAGATTCTTCTCCCTAAGAAACTAAGTGCTGCATTTCTGTTACAGCCGTTAATCCCAGCTCAGCAAGGATTCTCAGACCTGCCGGACACCCACATTTTCCCATTCTTACAATCCTTTGATTTTGTGTGTAGATCAGCACCGTTCCTTTGCAGAGCCCACGCTGGTCTCCTGTTACCCCTTGTGACCTAGAAGCCATATTTTTTTCTTCCTGAATGTGTCATGTAAGAGCTTGAGCTCTGGAGCCAGATGCTTTGTTCAAGACCCAGCCCCTTCGTTTATTATACATCAGCTTTATGGCTGTTTGCAAGTTGATTGAACTCCCTGTGCCTCAGTTTCCTTATCTGTAGGATGGGGTTGATAATGTGTACCTGCTTCCTACCGGCCACTGCGACAGTTAATAAGTAAATGCATGAACCCATCTTTCATGCCGTTTTTCCCAGCACCAATCAGAGATCTGGCTCTGTCATTATGGCCAGATCACCAAGGAACCAGCAGCACCTCAACATAATATTGATGTCTGGTTCTTGGTTTTGATTTATTTACTTTTTCTGTTTGTCTCTGTTATCAAGGAAATTCATCCGTGTGACCTTGTGCTACGTACTTGATTCCTTCAGCCTCGATTTCTGTATTTATGAAGTTGAGGTCAGGGGTAGGGGAAGAGGCTGGCATATAAGTGTCCATTCAGTCAGTCTTGCAACAACAGCTGAGAAGTCAGCCCTACAGCGTGGTGCAGATGTTTTGGTGATGCGCCCAGGTTGGCCTCTCCATGGGAAGAGCCTGCTACTCAGACTGTAGAACTGTCTTTGTCTGCCACTGCTAAGTGGGAACTGGATATATTCTATGCCTGGTCTTCTTACTAAGAGTGTGCAGAGCGTGCACACGCACGCACGCACACATACACTTCTCTCGTGCTGTGAATCAAACCCAGGACCTTGGGCATGCTAAACAAGTATCCCACCATTAAGCTACGTCTCAGCCCATGTGTAGAGCCTTTTTACTGGAAATGGCTGGTGATCAGTGCTGAAAGAGGCCTGCAAGCCTAGGAGGGTGCGGTTAGAAAGTCAGAGATCATCTGTGATTGCCCTAGTGATGGGGGCTTCGATGATGGGGAAAATCCAGCATGATGGGAAGAGTTCTGCCCACACTACCCACCCCCTTGAGAAAACTGGGTCTAATCTAGACCACAAGCCTTTCGTCAGAACCCCTGGCCCTGCATTCTTCCCCTGCAAACGTAGCCTGCATCTCCTCACATACGCTGGCCCCTCCCTGGGCCTCCAGAGACCAGTTAGCCCAAGGCTGATGGCAGCATCCTCGGAGTCGGGTGCAGTGTGCAGCCACTAGCGCTGTGATAACGAGGTTGGCCTCCTGTCTGATCTGCTTAACACCTGCACTTAAATAACCAAGTCAGTGCATTTGGGTTTAGTCACCATGGAATAGTTGCTGGAAATACAGGTATTTCACATATAAAAATTCAGTCATATAGTTGAGGTAAAAATACTATAAGAGCAAAATAATAAGTGGCAGTGAATGTTCAAATAAGAAAATAGGGGTGCTGGGGATTTAGCTCAGCGGCACAGCCCCTGCCTGGCAAACGAGAGGTCGTGAGTTCGATTTCCGGTACCGGGGAAAAAAAAGAAAATAGGTGGCCATTAATATGAATATTAAACAATTGGGTTAGCTCTCTCTTGGGAAGAATGATGTATTCTTTTGAGGCAAAGGGCAGTGTAGCCGCTGATGGTACTGAGAGGTTATTGGTCTGTATCACGTGACTGTCGAAGCCCCGTATTTTTAACATACTGTGATTGTTGGATTTTCTTGTTTCGGGAGGGCAGTACTAGGAATTGAACCAGAGTTTCATCCCCAGCAGATTTTATATGTTGAGACAGGATCTTGCTGAGTGACCCAGGCTGGCCTTGAACTTGTTGTAATCCTCCTACTGCAGGAGCTGGGATTATAGGCATGTGCCACTGCACCTAATTATTGAATTAAAAAAAAAAAAAGAATTTGTTTTTCTGTTTCAATAATCCTTTCCTTGATGGTGAATTTTGCTTTAGCCAAATGTTACTCTTTTGGAGGTGCTGGATCGTAGAACCCAGGGCCTCCTGCAGCGCTTGGCTGGAGGCTACTTTTGATCTATTTCTCCCGCTCAGTTGCAGAGGTTGTTCTCAAACCCTTGTCATGGAGTACTTGGTTCACACCACATAAGGCATCCCCAGCTAAAAAACTGTCTGTCCACTGCAGGAGACACAGTGGCCTTGTCCCTGAAGAAGTTCCTGAAGCAAGACACGTACGATGTACACCTCTCTCTGTCTGACCACGGCAACAATGAACAGCTAACAGTGATCAGAGCCACCGTGTGTGACTGCCAGGGCCACGTGGAGTTCTGCCCCAAGCCCTGGAAGGGCGGCTTCATCCTCCCCATCCTGGGGGCCGCGCTGGCTCTGCTGCGTGAGTACCGCACATCTCCTCTCTGCTGATGGAGAAATGAGGCGCTCTGACTCTTCTCTGAATTCCTGGGGCTAAGGGGCCACCAACACGGCCCTTCCGTTCTTTAAATTCTTCTAATTCCAGGAGTGTCATCCGGTCAGTGGTTATTTCTGGTGCTTCTGGAATATGTCAGGTGTTGGTGACACAGCTGTGAGCAAACAGATTTGGCCCTCCTGTGATGGACCCTCAAGGCTGGAGCCATGGTCTGGGTGGTCTCTGGCTAATGAGCAGGAATTTGTTAGGCAGATTCCCCGACCCCACCCCAGACCTAGTGATCCGGAAACAGCGGGATGGGACTCGGTAATCTGTGTTTTCACAAATGCTGAAGAAGTTCTGATACATGCTAGAATTTGAGAACTTCTTGGTCTGGGGTGGGGGTTACAGCATACACAAGCCCTGAGTTCGATCCCCAGCACCACCAAAACAAAAAACAAAATGAGTTTCTTTGCTCTAAGGTAGAACTTACAATTGCTTTTCCCACCCACCCTTTAACTTGGTCCTTACACGGAGAACGTGCATTCAATCAAATACGAGTGTGATAAGAACAAGTGTTCATTAATTGACATACGGGACACCAAGCACAGCTTTAGGCATTGGGGTGCAGCGCTTCCCAGAGCAGCAGAACGCTGTCCTTGCAGAGCTCATGTTCCAGCGCAGGGCGCCCAGGAGGAGCAGTCGAGCAGAGGAACAGGTGTCACTGTAGAGGAGGGCAAAGCAGGGGCCGGGATGCGGTGTTAACGTGGCGTAAGAGGCCTGCCGTTTTAAGCAGGATGCGCAGGAAAGGCTGTGAAGAGCACAGTCGAGCAAGATCTGAAAGAAGCGAGGGGACCAACCACGCGGACATCTAGGGCACAGCAAGTGCAGAAGCTCGGGCCAGCGCTGTGCTTGGTGCGTGGAGACGGAAATGGCTGGAATGGGAAAAGCAAGAGGGAAAAGGAGGAAATGAGGGCAGAGGGATTCTAGGTGCAGCCCATCGTCACGCTGGGCCTGGCAGGCAGCTGTAAGGACTCTGGATGAAGTGCGAAGTCTGCAGAAGGGTAATTTGACCTACATTTTGCAAGATTCCCACTGAACAGACTAGCAGGGCCGAGGTTGAAATAGGAAGAGCGTCTGGGAGGCTGATTCCATGATTCCCGGTGAGACGATGGTGGGGCTCGGAGCGAGGTGGCAGTGCTCAGGGCAGAGTCAGTGCAGATTGGTATGACACACAGAGCCAACAGTGGTTCCCAGGCTTTGGGCCTAAGCGGGTTAAACATGGAGTTTCTATTTACCCGTTTGGGAAGGACCATGGCGAGAGATGTGTGGCTGGGCAGTTAGACACATAAGCCTTGGCTTCAGGTGATAAATCCAATTGACCTCTTACCTTCCCTCAGTGCACGAATAACCCTGCCAACCTTCAAACCCGTATCACTAAGTCAGTCCCTCTCTTAGAATTGCAATGTAGCATTTGCACCCAAGATCAAATTATTACACCATAGCCTGGCACAGGCCTGTAATCTTACACTTGGAAGGCCGAAGCAGAAAGATCTCAAGTTCAAGGACAGCCTGGGCTACATAGTGAGACTCTGCCTAAAAAAAAAAAAAATCACTGCACCATTTCAAAGTTGTGTTATCTTGTTATATTTAACTTCAAGTCTATGAATAGCTTGGGAGGTATCTGGTGACTGAGCATTCACAACTGCTGGGAGGTTCCCACCCCACAAAAGGATTTTCCCAAGAACCAACACACATGGTTCGATGCTGGGTTTCAGAACCACAAAGGACCAGTCCCACCACTATGAGAAGTCAGACAGTAGATGAACAGAGGGTTCTAAAACTAACTAGGGGCTCTGAGGACTTGTGGGCTTGGTGGCCATGTGGTCGGGGGTGAGTATTCATATTCTCTAACTCCTCAGTCCTCCTGCTGGTGCTCCTCTTGCTGGTGAGAAAGAAGCGGAAGGTCAAAGAGCCTCTTCTGCTCCCAGAAGACGACACCCGTGACAATGTCTTCTACTACGGTGAAGAGGGTGGTGGTGAAGAGGACCAGGTAAGTCATGCGGGGTGCAGTCTGGGGGTGGGGAGGTGGATTCCTTTGAGGCCACTGGCAGGAGTGGTTGGGTCAATCAACTAACCGTGTGTCAGTCTTTATGAAGGATGCACCACCCGCTTCCCCTTCTGAGGGGGCCTGGCCTGTTGCTGTAGTCTGTTTCACTAGGCCAAGTGGACTTGTCTGAACTTAATTTGGAAGGACAAGGTGGGGGCGGCAGGATCATTCAGAAATCTGACATTTATCAGTCTGCTGAGATCTGTGTATGGAGCAGCCAAGAATATAGCTCAGTGGAATTGCGCCTGCCTGGCAAGCACGAGGTCCTGAGTTTGATTCCTGGTAGAAAACAAAAACAAAAACCTACGTATGGACCGGAGCACCCAAGTGAGTTGTACCTGGTGGAGCAAGTTCTCTCTGATTCCATAATCTCACTCATTTTTGTAAAGGACTACGACATTACCCAGCTCCATCGGGGTCTAGAGGCCAGGCCTGAGGTGGTTCTCCGCAACGATGTGGCACCAACCTTCATGCCCACACCCATGTACCGTCCCCGGCCAGCCAACCCAGATGAGATCGGCAACTTCATCATAGAGGTAAGACATGGCAGGGCAACCTAGGGCAGCCCTTAGTCAAGCCCAGTACAAGCAGCACAGAAGAACAAGCATAGGCTTAGGGTCTTGGCTCTGGGTTCAATTCCTGGCTCTACGAACAAATAGCTATGTGACCTCTACATATTTGAATACCTCTGGGCTTCTGTCACCTTCATGAAACCCAGTTTTGTAGACTACTATAATCCCAATATTCAGGAGACTGAGGCAGGAGGATTTCAGAGAGTTCGATGCCATCCTGAACTACATAGTGAGACAAAAAAAAAAAAAATAAAAGGAATACTTTATCCAGTTATTCAAACTTAGCATTTGCTAGAATACTTTGGGACCAAACTACCTACATTTGAATTTTAGTGATTCCAGGAGATTCCAATGTGGAGCAAAGTTTGGAACATCTGTCAGTGATTATTTCAAAGAGTGAATTAGGTAGCACCTGGAACAGAGGCTCCGGGACCTTCCTACCTTTGGGACCACCGGGGCGCATCCGTGCTCACTGGAGCCTGTGACTCACACCCAGGGGCTGGGATCTGTTGATTTGCCTGTGACCTGGGCTTGAACTCCTGAAGTAAATAAAAAATGCAGACCACGAATTAGGCACTTGGAAGGTCTATGACAGGAGCCCAGCACAGCCTGACTGCTAGTTAGCAATCAGTGACTTGAGGCCCTTTGAGTTGAAAGTCAAAACTGAGTGGGCTGCTGGTCAGCAGCAGTGGACAGGAGGCCTCGTCCTGTCTTCTCTTCTGCAGAGATAACAACTAAGCTGCTTACCTGGCCGGGGGTGGTGGCACACGCCTGTAATCCCAGCACTCGGGAGGCTGAGGCAGGAGGGGATCATTGGGAGTTCGAGACCAGCCTGGGCTACAAAGTGAGCTCAAGGCCAGCCTGAACTGCATAGCGAGACCCTGTCTCAAAAAGATCAAATAAATAAACTGCTTACACATACACATACAGCCTTCTACAAATAGTCCAGTGGTGAGCCCCTTAGCTTGAGTGTGCTCAAGAGTGCTGTACAAAAAAAACATAAATCTCACATGGGGAGAAGTTGCTCACAGCAGCTTGTTCAGGGAAAATGCTTTGGGGCTAATACCTGGAGCTTTGCCCTCCAGCTTGATAAAGGTGGCTGGAAGCGTGTGGAGTCTGGGTTCTGGCTCCCGCTGAGCCCCTGGGTCCAGCGGTTGTCAGCCCGGAGGGAGGGACAGGCTGCTTCTAACCCCGGCTCTCTGTTGCCCCAGAACCTGAAGGCGGCCAACACGGACCCCACAGCGCCCCCTTACGACTCGCTGCTGGTGTTCGACTACGAGGGCAGCGGCTCTGACGCCGCCTCCCTGAGCTCCCTCACATCCTCGGCCTCCGACCAGGACCAGGACTATGACTACCTGAACGAGTGGGGCAGTCGCTTCAAGAAGCTGGCGGACATGTACGGTGGCGGGGAGGACGACTAGGTGGCCCTGCCAGCAGCGCTGGGAACTAAGCATCAGGCTACAGCCGCGTCTCCAAGGGGGCTCGGTGCCCTCCCAGCCAGGGGCTTCGGAGCTCGTCGGGAAGTGGCCTGAGCAGCTTAGAGGGCGGAGGCTGCACGCCCGACCTGAGCCTTTCGCAAGGGAAGGGCTCGGGCAGCGTGACCTCGTGGGACGCCGAGCACCGCTCAGCCTGGGTCCCGGCTGCCCTGGACCTCCGTTTCCAGGAGCCTCCCTCCTGCCACGAAGCGCTCAGCCCACGTCCTGGGCCTGGACAGCTCCAGTGCCCCATGATGACTTTACCTCTGGGATGGATCTTCTCTTTAGAAAGAGGCCTCTGACTACAACCTGTTTCTGTTTTTGTTTAAAGTGCTGTTTTCAGCAAGTTAGAGGCAGGTCCTCCGCGTCCGCTCTGCCCCTTGGGGAGCACAGCCCGCCGGGCTCACGGGCCCTCCTGTGACTCAGGTCTCCGGGCCCTGAGCCTCCCATTTGGATGCATCAGTGCATTTTTATACCAAGCGTGTCTAGGTTGTCCTGTGTTTTTTATTCTCTCTGTTGTGTGCTGTAGATAAAGGGTGATGACAATCGTATCCATGTACTAGAACTTTTTTTATTAAAGGAGCTTTTCCCAGAGGTGCCAAGGGGAGTGAACTTCTTTTGTAAACAGCTGCCTGTCGAATTCTCACACCACACCAATCGCCCACGTCAAGGGGCCAGTGCAGTGGGGTTTGGGATGTTCAGCGTTGTGCCGAGGGATGGGCTCTTTCAACCCTGCTGGATCCCCCTGTGGCAGGAGAAGCTCACGACCCCCCATCATGCCCAGGTGGGCCCAGCAAGGGGTCGTGCAGTATGGGGGTAACAGACCCCCTGCCCTCCTCCTCGCAAATTCAGAGCTCCTTCTCTGCGTGAGAACCATGAAGATCCTTCCTGTTGGGCTGAGCATCGCCAGAGCCTAGACAAGGTTGCTTAAATTCCACTTGCCTCAGAGTTTTTATTTATAAAATAGGGGCTTTTTCAGCCGGGTGTGATGGCATATGCCTGAAATCCCAGCACTCAGAAGGCTGAGGCAGGAGGATCACGCAAGTTCAAGGCCAACCTGGGCTACATACAGTTCAAGGCCACACTGGATTACATAGACTGTTTAATAAATTTTAAGAAGGAACAGGACATGTAGGGCTGGGGGAGGAGCTTAGTGAAGTGCACAACATATATGAGGCCCCAAGTTCAAGTCCCAGTACTGCAAATAATGAAATGAGACTTTTTGCCAGGTATGGTAGTACATGCTCAGCACGCAGCAGACTGAGGCAAGACTGCAAGTTTAGGCCCTCCCAGGCTACATAGCAAGACCCTGTCAAAAATGTGGGTAGGGATCGGGGCAGAGGCTGAGGCATGAAGATCACAAGTTCAAGGCCATCCTGGACAAATGAGTGAAGCCTTTTCTCAAAAACTACAAAGAGCTGTAGGTGCACCTAAGTGGTAGAGCAATCCAGTGTTTGATTCCCAGTATCATCCAAAAAAAGTGTGATTAAATGAATTACTATCTGGGCATGGCAGGTGCTGTTTATGTGTGTTGGTAACTACTTCCACTTACTCAGATCTCTTGGTGCGCCGGGGATATAGCTCAGCAGGACAAGCACCTGCCTGGCAAGTGCAAGGACCTGAGTTCAGTTCCTGGTACGAAAAAAGAAAACCCTAGTAAGAAAAGCATAAAAACCTTTTTTGACAGGCGTGGAGGCACATGCCTGTAATCCCAGCACTCAGGAGGCTGAGGCAGGAGGATCCTTGCAAAGAGACCAGCCTGGACTACAAAGTGAGCTCAAGGCCAGCCCGAACTGGGTAGTGAGAACATATCTTAAAAAAAAAAAAAAAATCTTAGAGGCTGGGGATTTGGCTCAGTGGTATAGCATTTGTCTAGCATGTAAACATCCTGAGTTCAATCCCCAGAACCACAAAAAGAGAAAAAGAAAAAAAAAAATCTTGGGGCTGGCCAGCACTTACAAGGTTTTTCTTTAAACTCAGCCTCTGAGGATTTTCCTGTTTTGAAGGAGGACCTCAATGTGTTTTTTATAAATGATACCTGGTCATCAAAAATCAAGAAAAACAAAACTAGAGGACGCACCAGGCGGCTGTCGGTGAAACGGGACACGAGCGCAGGAGTAAGGCTGGGGAACAATTCTATTTATGCCTCTGTCAGAGTGAAGTCCAAATTTTTCAGTTAACCAGAGGAAGAGGATCTGCAGCAGAGCCAAAGAAATTGCTGAAGTAGAAATGAAAGTTTCCTAATCCGCAGGGTGACTCAGGCTTTCAAGCAGTCTTGCTGAGTCCAGCCCTGACTGGGTGTACCAGCCTCTCGTGGGAACCGGGCACTGGGGGCAGCGGGGTGCGGGCTGGTTTAACCAGTGCCAGGTGCTTCTGATGCAGTCTGCGGTGACAACCACGATCCTGCAGGCGGAGACCCTTGCGGGGAGAAAGCGGAAGAGAACTGAGCAGAAGCGTTGGCGCCACCCTCAGTTCACAGCGCCTCAGCTCTCCGCCGCCGCTGCCGCGCTTTCTCCGTCAGAGCTGCACTCGTTCTCCCCGCCTCCAGCCCGGCTCTGCGGGGCCCCTGCAGCTGATAGGGGCCAGGGAGGATTGGGTGTCCGAGCCAGCTGCCCCCGCTGCCCTTTATCTTCAATTCCCCTCCTGACTGAAGCGGGAAACGCTATCTTCCACGGCAGCTAATCAAAACCAGATAGCCACTGTTGTGGCCAGACTTCCCCCCTCCGACTCCTGGAGGACATCCAGGAGCAAAAGCAGCCGTCTCCAGCCAAGCCCGCCCCCTGTGGGTGGGTCTGGATTCCTTTGGCAATGGAACCAGTCATCAAGCGAGTAAGGTGGAGAGACCGGACCTAGACTCGGCGATAGGGTTGGGTGTTAAGTTGCTCTCTGACTCCCGACTTGCTTCTCATCTGCAAAACGGGATCTTAGGTCCATGGTCTTTGAGACTTAGAAGAGGTCAAAATATTTTTAGCTGGTAAGTCATCCTCGCTCACCACCCCAAGTGAGCACGGACTGTAAGAAACTGTAGCTGACCGTGCTAACCAGAACCATCGGGATGCTTGACTCGCTGATCTTCCCCTTTTGTAGTTCACCAGTTTGCTGGGCATCTTTCCAAAGCTTCCCCTGTGCATTATAGCCACATTTTGTGTTACGCCTGTCTAGGGCTGCCTTATTGTCTCTGTCACATCCAATTTAGATGTGTTAGCCGGGCGTGGTGGTGCACGCCTGTAATCCCAGTACTTGGGAGGCTGAGGAGGGAGGATCGTTGCAAGTTCAAGGCCAGCCTGGGCTACAAAGTAAGCTCAAGACCAGCCTAACTGCATAGCGAGACCTTGTCTCAAAAAGACAAATAGATAAATAATTAATTAATTAAATAGGTGTGTTGTCACTTACTTAATCTCACACCACCCATGAACATAGTGATCTAGTTTTTGGCCTGTAACAATGTCAGAGCCTCCATCTTTGCAGGTGCTTCAAATCCAGTCGTCCATTCTGGGGAAGAGAGTCAGGAAACGTGGTCCTGGCTGAGATCAGAGTTCTGAGGAGTCTCAAAGCCCAAGTCCCAGAAACTAAGTGGGGCAGAAAAACTAGGAAGAGTGGAGCTTTACTGTAAGAAAGAACTGGGGAGCTCAGAGCTCCTGCCTCAGCCTCATCCACCTGTTGTGTCTCTTTACCAAATTCCAGCTACAGAAAACTCCTTCGATCCACCCTGTCATTTTACAGGAGAAAGAGGCTCCAAAGATTCGTGTCCCTTTGTCCCCACCAGCACAGCCAGGTCAGCCAGGTGCCTTGTGTCCTTGTTGCTGACCGGGTGATCCTTTCTCTTCCTGGAGGGGTGGTGAGAATTGCCATCTCCCTTGAGGGATCCAGGGAGAAGACCAGGCAGGAAGTGTCAAGGGCCAGGCGGGCAGGGTCAGGGCGGGGACTGTCCCCTTGGGGACCCTCTTCAGCAGCCCACTTCTTGTTCCAGGTCAGCTCGCTAGGCAGTCCGAGGGCCTTGCTCGTGTTAAGGCCGAGCCTACTTTGCCTCCTCCCATTGAAATAACTGTCACAAGTGCTGGCCTGGCACTTCCATAATGATACCTTGGATAAATGCCTTTCCTCTCTGCCTCGCTTTTTGTTTTGAGCTGGGTGTCTTCACTATATTCCCCAGGCTGGCCTCAATCTCAAACTCCTCCTGCCTCAGCCTGCTGAGTAGCTAGGAGTACAGACTTGCACGACCACACTCAGCTTCTGCCTCACTTTTCTCATTGGTAAAATAGAGGAGGGAATGAATAATCTGTAAAGTGCTCAGAAGGGTACCTGGCATGCAATGGCTATATAAATGTTACTGCTGTCACTATCAGTGTGGTAGGGCCAATTAATGCTCCTTTCTCACCACGCTCACGCCCTGGGTGGAAACTGCGCTTCCCGCAGGAAGAATTCCTGGAGATTCTCAGGCTAGGGGCGCCTGCTACAGTGGGCGGTGACTGGGTTTCCCAAAAAGCCCTCCCCGTCATGCCCAGCAGAGGGCGCTGTTCACCCACAGGCGCCGCCTTCCAACCTGGGCCGCCAAGGGTGGATCTGCCGGAGTGGAGAGGCCCAGGACGGGCCGGCAGTCACAGTGTCTGGCTGCTATGCTGTGAAGGATCCGCTGTGTGGCAGGCGCTGCCTTGGACGTGCTGAAGGTAGTGATGTCCGGTGGTGGTCGGTATTTATTTATTTATTTATTTTTGTGGTCAGTATTTAAAGGGCTATCATTGCCCATGACAATCATATTCATTCTCTCACCTCTCACCTACTCAGAGGTTTTATGAGTTTCTTTTTAAAAAGAAAGTGAAGTCCGGTGTGGTGACCTACGCTTGTAATCCCAACACTCTGGGAGGCTGAGACAGGAGGATCACAAGTGTGAGCCCCACCTGGGCAATTTAGTGACTTAGTGAGACCCTCTCTCAAAATAAGAAAAACGTAAAAGGGCTGCGGTACAGCTCCGGGTGAAGGCCCTGGGTTTAATACTCCGTACTGCAAAAACAAAACAAACCCCACACGCAAGTCAGTAAAACACACCATATAGTAAAAGGCAAGGCTCAGGAAGAAAATAAAGCTAGGGTGATTAGTGAGGGAGGAGCTGGGGTGAGAGCTCAATTCCAGTAGCTGGAGAAGGCCTTGCTAAGACAGTACCATGTGAGCAAAGACCAAAGGATGTCAGGTGGCAAAGCCTCCAAGTATCACGACTTAGTAGCCAGAACAGCAAGTGCAAAGGCCCTGAGTCTGGAGTGTGCTTGGCAGGGTTCAGCAGGGAGGCCAGGGAGGCTGGAGCAGAGTGAGAGGGAGCCAGAGAGTGACAGCAGGTGAGGTCAGACAGGTAAAGAGGGGGGCCCAGGGTGTCTAATCCTAGGTATCCTCCTCAGTACCCCAGCTGGAGGGGGAGTGTTGAGTTTAGAAGTGCCAGGCCCAGAAGCCTAGGAAAAGGCCTGATTCAGCTCTATCTTGGAGCTGGCAAAACCTGATTTTCCCCTGTGCCAGCCTCAGTTACTAAGAAAGAGCCTGGGCCTGTCTGGGCCTGTGAGCAGCTGCAGCTCTGGCGGGCAGCTCCAGGCGGGCAGGAGCTGCGA